TACGCTATGGGTGAGGAGCGCGGCAAACGCACTGTACAGCTTCCCGCCGCGCACCGCTCGAACGCGGTGACCGCTTCTCTCGCACTTCTGCTCGCCTTTTTGGTGTGATGCAGGAAAACGTTAAGAACTCAGCATGGGGGGTTTGATAAGCGTATGGCTCCGCTACATTTCCGCGGAATCGGCAATCGTCCCCAATCAAGGGTACTCGTACCCGAGCGACATAACCCAAAACAGGGTATTTAGGCCCTGTATCCTGAGGGGGTAGAGGTGGGGGTGCGGCACCACGTCCGATGGTGAGTACATACCCTAGGTAGTCACCACACACCGGGTCGTCCTCACCTGCCGCGCGGCCCTCGCCCGGCGGCCTCGTGAACATGGTACCCGTGAAGCGCGCGAAGTTGGACAAGAAACTTTGGCAACGATCCGCCCATGGTTCCGCTTGTCGCACAGGGGTCTGTGCGTGCTCGTTGTGATCGGAAGAACCTCTACTTTCATTTGAGACGCGAACTGGCATGTCGATTTTTTTGGGGGGACAGCCTACCGGTCGTGGAAGATAGTCTCCAGGGCGTAAAGAAAAGATTTGAACGTTAGAAGAACAATTATTATCAACTTTGAAGCAACTTGAAGAGGATTTTGCGAGGAAATATTGAGAAATGCTGAGTTGCAGGTGTTGTTAGCGCGAAATGTCGCAAACAGACAAGCACCAAGAGATTAATGACATCTGAAAAGGATGTTCTCGCCTGGAATTTCAATTCACGAGCTTCAAATGCGTCCTCAAACCGTGTCGCCTAACCTCTCTGTGTGTTTTCAGTTTGACTCTGAAGATGAGGATGATATTATGCCACTCCCTATTAATTCACCTGCTTCAAAGAGTGTTCCCTCAAGGGGATGTTTTTCAAATGCAGGAAAATTCCTACTTTCTAAGTGCTTCTCTTCAGGTGTATAATTTTTTTTCCTCGCTAAAATCTGTATTTCATCTGGTTGTTGGAGTCTTTGCATCCCCTCCATATCCCTGAAATTACTTTGTGCATACTCTAGCTCGTTCTAGCTACTATTCCATGTCCCAAACATTTCGTCTCCACTTGGCCGCTCAACAAAAGGCACTGTAGCAAGTGCTTTGCAGTCCCTTGACAAAGCCCACCAGCTAGGCAAGTTGGTTGACCCTGGTCCGATACTTCAAGTTATGGACAGTAAGCCTTTATCATGGTCCCCTATATGTTTTGTTGTGAAATTCTATTAAGTAGATAACCAGTCTTTCTTCCTCACATTTTAATATCTCAACACCTAGCATGAACACGAAAATGATTGAAAGTCGAAGTATGTAAGAAAGTCTTTATGTTTCAGAAATTGCTCCAACATTTGTAAGAGGCAGACAGCAAGATGCACATGAGTTCATGGCTCTGTTATTAGATGCACTGGTGCATGAGGCCGGAACTGTTGTCACTCCAGTGCACCATTTATTTTCTAGTGCCAATGCAGAATTGGGTATGCATTTTTGATGACTTTCTTTGGTGTGCTGTTGTGCTTTAATTAATAGTTTTTTTTTGCTTTTGACAGTATCCTGTGAAAAGTGTTACCATACATCATATGTTCAAAACAATTTCCCCATGATTCCTACTGCTCAATTTCATGGGTTTAATGATTTGGAGGAAGCAGTCAATCATACCTTGCAGCCAGAATCTGTGATAAGTGCTTGTACTGAATGTGGCCATGGCCAGAAGAAGAAAGTGTGTTGTCTACTAAGGCCTGCTAACTACCTTTGCGTGCACATACCTCGCTTTACAACTGATAATAATGGAAATTATGTCAAGTCTAAGAAAGAGCTACTCATGAATAAATCGCTAAGGTATTCCGTCCACAATTATGACTTAATTGGTATCACTGCGCATCATGGCGTACGTAGAAGTAGTGGACATTACACCGCTTTTTGCCTGGATCAAAGTAATGTCTGGTACCACTTTGATGACAGTAAGGTAAATTCAAACATCTTCATATCAACCTCTAGTGACTAAAAAAAATCTTGAACTTTTATAGTATTGGTCCAATATTTTTAGAGTACACCTATCAACATGCTGTCATACCTTGACAGCGAAGAATGTCAGCAGAATGCATACATTGCACTGTATCAAAAAAAGGAAGCTACTGGGGAAGAGACGCCACTTCAATCGCTGTCCCAACTGATTATGTCGGAATCAAGTGTATGTGCACCACCAGAACCACCGCCACCATCTACTCGGGCCCCTCGTAGGAAATTGCTACAAGCCCAGTCCCAAAATCCCATGGTGCTTTCCATGACCCATGGGTTGTCATGGAACGTCATGGAACATCAACTGTCCAAGGGCGAACTTTCCATGTATTTTTTGCCGCTTTTCCATGAGTGTTTTTTCCATGGGCATGTATTCAAACTCCATGGTGTTGGTCTCCATGGAACAATACTAAGCCCATGGACAACTTTACCATGGCAAAGCAAAGAACAGAGTCGGTTGCCTAAGTCAAGTTAGTCTTACAGATAATTACGAAGCATGTTTTCGGGGGATCTGAGGGAACTGAGGCGGAGCCGAATCCGCTGTCTGTTTCAACGTAGCTACGGCCGTTTACGAGATAGCAGGAAAAAGTGCTCAAATTTGTATGAGATCAAAATGACCCTACTAAAATTCGACCGAGGTGCTAGCCACCAAGTTTTAGACCGATATTCAATTAAACACAGATTTTACAGCTTTCATAACTTTCATGGGAATTTGTTTTTCCATGGAGTTAAGACCAACACCATGGCGAAAGACACACCATGGTAGCATATGCACTATTTCCATGATACGTCCCACGGAAAGCTAGTTCCGACCCCATGGTGACATTAATTTCCATGGAGGGCCAAGCCGCTTCCTCATTGAAAAGAGGCTCCACATGGAAAGTGAGCAGCCACACATGGAAAACGGGCCTTCTGCCATGGAATAGTGTTCATGGAATTCCATGTAGCGCATGGGATTTTAGGACTGGGATGTAAGTATTAAAACTTTTAGTTATGAGCTTGCCTCACATTTATCCTACCTCTAATAGACATGTTCTGTTGACAGGTAGTAGAACAGGACATCCCTCCAAAAAAAGGAAGAAGGACAACAATTGCAAACGGGTACTTATTATTAATCAGGTACAAATTATTTGTCAGGAAATTAAATTCTTAACTTTTACATCTATCAGTCACTGTCAAGCCGAAAGATTTCGGCATAGCACTCAGGGGTATACTGAGAAACATCAGTGAGTCGATAAATTTCCAGTTGCCTACCTTCATACTAATAATTTTACCCCCCTGGAGCACAGGTTCTACCCCCATTTTGCGTGCTATGAGCTCCTGGAGCAGGAGAGGGCCGTCAAAAGAGCGACAGTTGTGTGCGACGAGGAGAAGGGAGTGTTTGGGAGGGAAGGACCTTAGATAATCAATGAACTGTCCCATTACGTTCATGTCTTGATTATCGAGGCTGTGAAACACTTGCTGGCGTGTTTTGCACACTTCACAGAAATAATCGTTTTGTGCGATGTGTGAGCACTGATCACACACTGCTTGTGAAACCAGGACGTTGGGGATGTGTTCGTATGTGTTAGTGAACCCTGGCACGGCCTTCCCCTGAACGGTCTCACTATCCCAGAAAATCGTTATGTAGTGCCACCCCCTCTTCTTTTCTTTCTCTCCCCATGACTGCATGTAACACAAGTGCCCCTCCTTGACATTTTCCCTGCAGTATTTGCAATACACCCAGTTGCACAGATGAGGGGTTTTTCCCACTTTGTAACTCTTTTTGCAGTTGTCACAAAACTTGAATGTGTCACATTTGCTAGAACGGGAACTGTGGAGATTAACCTTTCTGTAGTTATCCAAACATTCGTCACAAGCGAACTGGTGACGACAACCCTGGGTAAAAAAACCATGGGGCTGTCCATGAGCCATGGACATAAATTTAACCATGGATTTTTCTGACCATAGATTTATGGAACCAGTAAACCATGAAAACAACAGTTGACCATGAGTATATAGTGGATGGATTGCATGGCCATGGCTAATGTGCTCCATGGCAAGGGATGACCATGAGAATTGGCTTTCATGGTCACAACTAAGTCAATGAATGTGTCCATGGTTACTATTACGATTGTCATGTAGAACGTCCATGAACACACGTTTGGTCATGATACTGTTATCAATGGACACAAATACCATGATAAAACTAATCAACGGCCAACTGTATTAGTAATGGACATGGGATGTTTTCCTCATGGTCTCTGTGTTCATGGTCTACGTTTATCATGGCGAGGGTTTGTGTCCATGGGCGTGGAGTCATGGTCACAACCTTTGACCATTGGGACACGTCCATAATGAATACAACCTGGTCCATGACAAGCCATGCACCTAGGACCATGATCAAACGACAGCCATGTCAATGTCAACGGTACTTT